AAAAATTAAAGGGAACACTATTTAATCAAAGTATAGCATCAAGTCAGTTAAACTGCTGGGATATTGATCTGGTCAGTTAAGTAGCAGAGGGGGTTGGTAATCAGTTTCAGCTGCTTTGGTGTTAATGAAATTAACAACAGGTGCACTAAATGGGCAACAAAGATGGACAATTCATCTTTTCTGACTGTTTTTCACTAGTTTTGCATTTGGCTAGAGTCAGTGTTACTACTGGTAACATGAGGCGATACCTGGACCCTACAGAGGTTGCACAGGCAGTCCAACTCCTGCAGGATGGCACATTAATACGTGCCATTGCCAGAAGGTTTGCTGTGTCTCCCAGCATAGTCTCAAGAGCATGGAGGAGATTCCAGGAGACAGGCAGTTACTCTAGGAGAGCTGGACAGGGCCGTAGAAGGTCCTTAACTCATCAGCAGGACCGTATCTGCTTCTTTGTGCAAGGAGGAACAGGATGAGCACTGCCAGAGCCCTACAAAATGACCTCCAGCAGGCCACTGGTGTGAATGTCTCTGGCCAAACAATCAGAACCAGACTTCATGAGGGTGGCCTGAGTGCCTGAAAACTTCTAGTGGGCCCTGTGCTCACTGCCCAGAACCATAAAGCTTGATTGGCATTTGTCATTGAACACAACAATTAACAGGTCCGCCACTGGTGTCCTGTGCTTTTCACAGATAAGAACAGGTTCACCCTGAGCACATGTGACAGACGTGAAAGGGTCTGGAGAAGCTGTGGAGAATGTAATGCTGCCTGTAACATTGGTCAGCATGACCATCTCTGTGTTGGGTCAGTGATGGTCTGGGGAAGCATATCCATGGAGGGATGCACAGTCCTCTGCAGCTAGACAATGACACCTTGACTGCCATTAGGTATCGGGGTGAAATCCTTGGACCCATTGTCAGACCCTATGCTGGTGCAGTGGGTCCTGGGTTCCTCCTGGTGCATGACAATGCCCAGCCTCATGTGGTGAGAGTATGCAGGCAGTTTCTGGAGGATGAAGGAATTGATACCACTGCATGGTCCCCACACTCGCCTGACCTAATAGAACACCTCTGGAATATCATGTTTTGGTCCTTTTGACATCACAAGGTTGCACCTCAGGCTGCCCAGGAGCTCAGTGATGCCCTGGTCCAGATATGGGAAGAAATATTACAGGACACCATTTGTCATCTGATTAGGAACATGCCCCACCATTGTCAGGCATTCATACAAGCATGGGGGGGCCATACAAATTACTGAGTATCATTTTGAGTTGCTGCAATGAAATTTCAGCAAAATGGACTGTCCTGCTGCATCATCTTTTCATTTTGATTTTCGGGGTGTCTTTGAATTCAGTCCTCTGTAGATTGATAATTTTCATTTCCATCAAAGAATGTGGCATCCTTACGTTCCTAACACATTACCTAGTCCATATCAGTATAGATATCCAGCATGATATTTTTCCCTATTGAGATCTGATGTGTTTTCAAAGTGTTCTTTTAATTTGTTTGAGCAGAATATATATATATATATATATATATATATATATATATTGATGTGGGGGAGTTTATCTCAGTAGTAGATGCGTTTTAAGGATGTGGCAGCCTGTATTTATTAAATATAAATTAAAAAGTCCATCCAGGATTTCCACACAGGTGTTTCAACTTCACTCAGCAACAATGTTAATAAAATGTACCAAGCCACCTAGCTCTCAGGTCAGCAGTACCTCTGCTCTGTTTGGTCTCCCAGACCACTGACTTTCTCAGGCTATCTCAGCCTAGGTGACAGAACCTTTCTGTTCAGGCCCTACATGGCCTCGGAACAGGGTTTTCCCAGCACCTCAAGCTTGAGCTTTGCCTTCAGCCCCTGGACTTGAAAGGATATTCATCTTCCTCAGTCTCTCATACCCTCTCCCAGACACTTGTAGCTGGCCATATTTTCTGAGTTCTTGGGCAAGGAATCCCCCTCACAAAGGTTTCAGTCTCCAACATGAACTCCCAGCTCTCCTGACAGGGCTCTGTCTTCAATCAGCAGCAACTACACTGAGCTATGATAAGATGGCTTATAATGAATGTATGCACCTGAACACACACACAACTTGCAAAACTTCAGGAAAACCTGGACACAGGACTGAAGGCTCCATCCCACTCAATACTCTTTGGAACCTTCAAGCTTCCAGCCCTAATCTAGAATGACCAAATCCATAGAAAACTTAAGCCGTAGTTTTATCTGCTCACAAAACATCTTCTGGAGCCTCTCATAGTGACTGTTTGAGAGTCCTGTGTCCTATTTAAACCCATACCACTCCTGAAAATGTAATGTCAAAATATCAAATATAAGGGATACATTTGTTATCAAATATTTGATATTTATTGTACAGTGAATTGAGACTAAAGACAAAAATAATGCAGATATATAAGATAAAAAGTATATTCAGAACCATATTACTTATCAAAGATAGATTTATTGACAAAAGGTTAAAAGTCAGTGTATAAGCAAACTACAAAAAAAGTCAACAGATAGGAAGTAGAGGATGCTATTCATCTTGCCTCTGGCTGTGACAAGCATCATCAAAGTTGCTTATTGTGTTGGTGTTCAATCCCCCACAATCAATAATGTATATGGCTTGGTTTTGATTCCATCATCTTGTGTATTATTTATTTATTTCATTTGTTTGGTGTTACACATAGAAATCTATATGATACAAGACATAAGCACAATCATTGCAAGCCATGAATCATTCAGCTCACTCAGAAAAGCACAAGACTGATGTACTTAGTGGTATTACATATATTATCAATATATCTATATTTTAAGGAGGAGTAAGTGAAAAAGAAAAAAAAACGCAATATGAGGCTCTTACTCAGTTAGGATTCATCTTATTAAACAGCATCAACCACTGCTTTCACCCTTGCATATTGCAGAATATTACAATATAAATGTATATGGTGTTTACCAAGTGAGGAGTGAGGAGATGTAGTATTGTTTGATATTTTACTAAATAGTGTGCTGGCTTTTCATGCAAATTATAATGTAGTAAAAATGGTAACTTCAATTAGACTAAGGCTTCTTTTATAATTATCTAATGTTTTCCATTATCACTATACTGCAGGAGCGATGACACCTGTTTATTCCCATGGACCACTGGACGAAGACTCGTGGTTTGTTTCATTTTTTTTATTGTAAAACTTCCTACTGAATGAGGTCATTAGGAAACTGTAGTGTTTAAAAAGCCACTGAAATCACTGAGAATTAAAAGTGGCTCTGTTTTTGTAATAATCTGTATTGGAATTGGTTCGTATATGTTCAGTGTGTTCCATGCTGAATGTTTTTTCCAAAAGCTTATAAAGCATTTGTTGTCACTTTCAGGCTACTTAAAAATATATACAGTGCTGTAAAAACGTATTTGCCCCCTTCCTGAAGTTCCTGACCTCAAGCTCAAGTGCACTTGGGTTATGCAGCAGGGCAATGATCCAAAACACACCAGTAAGTTCACCTCTGAATGGCTCAAAAAAACAAAATGAAGGTTTCGAAGGGGCCTAGTAAAAGTTCAGACTTAAATCCAATTGAGATGCTGTGGAATGACCTTAACCTCCTTGGCGGTGTTCCCGAGTGTAGCTCGGGGTAGAATTTCTATACCAAGAACGGTAACCCCGAGCTACACTCGGGCTTACTATGCAGCGTTCTCTGGGGGTCCCTGCAGCACTTACCTTGTCCTTCGCTCCCACGATGTGTCCCCTGCAGCGTCCCCGTCCATCTCCTCTGGCGGATGCCGGCATCTGACTTCCGTGTTCCGGTCCCCGTGACATCGGAACGTTCGGGCGGCGGCGAACCGGCGGGAAATTTGAAATTTTTAAAAAATGACATTTTTGCTGTCATTGCTTTTTCACTGCATTTCACATACATTGTGTCCCCACTGCTTTGTCCAGCGCCCTGCCTGCATTTTGACTGTTCTTTCTGCCTGGAAACTTAGAAAAGTCCATGGCGGCCAAAAAGCGTCCCTTTACATCAAAAGCGGTTTTAGAACAGCGATAGTAAATCAGAACCACTTGCAGAATTGAATGATAATGATTTGTGGGGAAATTCGTCATCAGACACTGAAAACGATTTTGCGACTTTGCTCAGCGATGTGCGAATTTGCCTCTGTATTTCAAATTTCAGTGTTTTTGGTTTCATTATATTATTGAATTAAATTTATTATTATTATATTATTATTTGTTATGATTATTTATTAAATTATAATTTATGATTTCGTGTTTCAAGTTTTATCATATCCGGAATGTTTAATAGACTCTTTTTCGGATAGATTTCAGTGAGTTATTCCTAAAAATTACAGCCTACAATTAAAAACTACATATTTCCATGCAAAAAAATGGTACCTCTTTCAGCACAAAATTCCTGACATGATCATACCGCCAGGGAGGTTAAAAGGGCTGTTCACGCTGGAAACTCTCCAATGTGGCTGAATTAAAATAATTCTGCAAACAAGAGTGGGCCAAAATGCTTCCACAGGGATGTGAAAGACTCATTGCCAGTTATCTCAAACGCTTGTTTGCAGTTACTCTAAAAAGCCTCTAATAAAACCTCCAAATAGATAATAGAAGCAGGGTGTAGCGCTACACCCTGCTTTTATTAGCTTGATTGCAGTTGTTGCCACCAAGGGTGGAACACCCCCACTTATTAAGTTTAGGGGGCAATTACTTTTTCACATAGGACCAGGCAGGTTTGGACATTTTTCCCCCTTAATAAATGAAATCATCATTTAAAAACTGCATTTTGTAGTTACTCGACTATCTTTTTGTAATATGTACATTTGTTTGATTATCTGAATCCTTTAAGTGGAACATATATGCAAAAAATAAAAAAAATCAGGAAGGGGCAAATACTTTTCACAGCACTGTATATACATATACATTATAGTGCCAAACGTATTGGGACACTATCCAAATCATTGGATTCAGGTGTTCCAATCACCTTCATGGCCACAGGTGTATAAAATCAAGTACCTAGGCATGCAGACTGCTTCTACAAACATTTGTAAAAGAATGGGTCACTCTCAGGAGCTCAGTGAATGCAAGCGTGGTACCGTGATAGGTTGCAACCTGTGCAATAAATCCATCCATGAAATTTCCTTGCTACTAAATATTCCACGGTCAAGGTGGAAGCAACTGGGAACAACAGCAACTCAACCACAAAGTGTTAGGCCATGTAAAATGACAGAGCAGGGTCAGCGCATGCTGAAGCGCATAGTGCGCAGAAGTCGCCAACTGTCTGCAGAGTCAATAGCTAAATACCTCCAAACTTCATGCGGCCTTCAGATTAGCACAACAGTGCATAGAGAGCTTCATGGAATGGGTTTCCATGGCCTTACATCACCAAGTGCAATGCAAAGCTGGACTCTAGAGCAGAGGAGATGTGTTCTCTGTCTGGTAATCCTATGGATGTGTCTGGGTTTGGCGGTTGTCAGGAGAACGGTACTTTCCTGACTGCATTGTGCCAATTATAAAGTTTGGTGGAGGTGGGATTATGGCGTGGGGTTGTTTTTCAGGGGTTGGGCTTGGCCCCTTAGTTCCAGTTAAGGTAACTCTTAAGGCATCAGCATACCAAGACATTTTGAACAATTTCATGCTCCCAACTTTGTGGAACAGTTTGGGGATGGCCCCTTCCTGTTCCAACATGACTGTGCACCAGTGCACAAAGCAAGATCGTTAAAGACATGGATGAACGAGTCTGGGGTGGAGGAACTTGACTGGCCTGCACAGAGCCCTGACCTCAACCCAATAGAACTAGAGTGGAGACTGCAAGCCAGGTCTTCTTATGCGACATTAGTGCCTGACCTCATAAATGCGCTTCTGGAAGAATGGTCAAACATTCCCATAGACACACTCCTAAACCTTGTGGACATCCTTCCCAGAAGAGTTGAAGCTGTTATAGCTGCAAAGGTAGAGGCAACTCAAAATTGAACCTTAACCTCTTGACGCCGACGTCACACAAATATGCGGCCTCATGGACCTGGGCTTTTTTCCGTGGGGCCGCATATTTGCGTACCTGTCTTTGTGCTGGGAGCGCGCCGCTTGGCGCGCTCCCAGCACCAAGACCGCGGTGTCACTGAGAGCCCCGGGTCCCGTTCTAACGATCGGGACCCGGGACTCCCGATTCCGGGTCACGTGATAGCCTCTGATTGGCTATCACAGTGATCAATCACTGTGCAGCCCGGCCCCCTTGTTTTCTCTCTCTCTATGAATGGAGAAGAGAGATACATTGTATCTCTCGAACTCCTGACATAGAGAGATAAAAAAAAAGTTTGTAAAGAAAAAAAAAAGATAAATAAATATTAAAAAAATAAAAGAAAAAATAAAGAAAAATACCTAGATCAAGGTTTGATCTAGTTCAGTACCAGGGTTAGTGTTTGGGTCAAGGTCAGGGTCAAAGGTCAGGGTCAAGGGCAAAGGTCAGGGTCAAAGGTCAGGATTTAAAAAAAAATTGGAATCAGTGTCAGTTAGTGTTAATGTCAATGTCAGTGACAGTGTGTTTTATGTAAAAAAAAAAAAAAAAAAAAAAAAGACGAAAACAAAATGCGCACTGTTGTTTCTGGACTGTACTACGGGTACAAACAACAAATAACATACACATATATGGTATCGCTGCGATCATCAAGAACTGGAGAATGTATTTTGGGTTGTTCTTTGGTGGTAGGTTATGGTCGTAACAAGAAACACACAGTTAAATTAAAAAAAATGATTTTTTTTACTATTTTGGCCCAGTTTTCCTTTATTAATAAAAAAAAAATTAGGAGCTATCCATTACCATTTACCACCAAATGAAAGCCCAATTTGTCCTGAAAAAAACAAGGTATAATCCACCTGGATGTACAAAGTAGTTGTGACGATATGTACAGTTTTACTAACACGTCAACGTTGCAGAATTGTGCTTAGGCATTTAGATTTGTTTTACCCTTAGGCGTGAAGGGGTTAAAGCAGAGTTCCACCTCAAAAAAAATAAAAGTCAGCAGCAAAAAAAAACTGTAACTTTTATTCCTCGCTCCAGCTGTGTCCTCACCACCGCTGGTTTCACTAGCCGTCTTCTCTCCCTGGTGCCGGCATATTCAGTGTGGGCACCTGGCTGTGACAGCTTGCCGCTTCACAATCGGGTGCCCACTGCGCATGCGTGAGAAGCGCTGTGCTTTGTGAATGGCCTCGTACTCTTCTGGGACCTGTCACGTGTCCCAGAAGACTTTGGGGAAGGGGGGGGCAACTTCCGCTTCCAATCGCCTTAGTGATTACAGCGGAAGTGGGAACAGGTACCTGTCAAATTCGGGTACCCACTCCTCCCCGCTCCACAAAGGTGCCAATCCTTAATGGGGAGCGGGGGACAAAACATTAAAATGGAACTTCTCCTTTTGGGTGGAGCTCAGCTTTAAGAACTAAGACTGGGATGCCATTAAAGTTCATGTGCTTGTAAAGGCAGGTGTCCCAATACTTTCGGCAATATAGTATATATATACTATATATATACTATATACAGTGGATATAAAATGTCTACACACCGCTGTTAAAATGTCAGGTTTATGTGATGGAAAAAAAATAGACAAAGATAAATAACTTCATAACTTTTTCCACCTTTAATGTAAACTATAAACTGTACGACTTAGTTGAACAACAAACTGAAATATTTTAGGTGGAGGGAAGTAAAAATAAAAAACTACAATAGTACGGTTGCATAAGTGTGCACACCCTCTTATAACTGGGGTAGCTAGCTGTGTTCAGAATTAAGCAATCACATTCAAAATCATGTTACATAGGAGTTATTACACACATGCCATCATTTAAAGTGCCTCTGATTAACCCCAAATAAAGTTCAGCTGTTCTAGTAGGTCTTTCCTGACATTTTCTTAGTCACATCCTACAGCAAAAGCCATGGTCTGCAGAGAGCTTCTAAAGCATCACAGGGATCTCATTGTTAAAAGGTATCAATCAGGAGAAGGGTGCAAAAGAAATTCCAAGGCATTAGATATACCATGGCACACAGTGCCATATTTTAATTTTTTTTGTCAATCATACACTCCAGCACACACTGTCTAATACCATTTAAAGCAAATATACATGTCTTATTACTTTTCTCTTGCTGTTACTGGCAAGCGCCGCTCGTGTTGTGAATTGTCATTTCAGAAAGTTCTAAAACTAAAGTAACCAGCAGTTCTTCCAGCAGTTCAATTAACTGTCAGTCTCCATGCCCATTACATGGCGACCTCCATTCAACCAAACTAGCCAAAAATTAAACTAGATTTCAGACTTTTGGTTGCTAAACAACAGATTCACCAAAGCTCCACAGCCATTCTCCTAACAAAACCTAAACAGGTAGAGCACTATTCTACCACATACTTTAAACCCATCAAATAAATAATTAAAGGGTTAGTTAACCTTGTCAGAACAGGTGAGCACCCTACATTCTCCCACTTTCAAATCCCAGCCGTCCAGGGACTTCAAATATTTCTCCCTTCTGCATTGCTTCCATGACAGATCAGAGCGATGCTATGTGTCAGCACTGACCAATCAGAATAGCTCTACTCCAATGCAGAAAGAAGGGGCAGAAGAGCTGGGATTTAAAATCCCCAGACTGCTCAAGTGGCTGCCTGTGCACTGACAGCTCATCACCCATGGAGACGGGGGGGGGGGGGGGGGGCTTTAGAGTGTTAGTTCACCTTTTAATTTTTTTTCTGAAAAGGTTTATGTACACTTTGATAGTGGAATACTACCAAGGTTCTCACTCTTCAGTAAACTTTAACAGTGCCATCATTGACCTTCTATACATTTTATTATTTTAGAGTTGGGATAATCATCTTCTGTTGATTAATATATAACTGCCTAGGTAATCACATGATGCATACTTTAGTATATGACATCATACACCAAATCTGTTTGATATATAAAACTAAAAGGAGTCTGTATGTTAACAAATAGCTGTTTGAATATAGCTGGTAATAAATCACAAAATTTAAAAACTATGTTTGTTACAGGCTGAAATTATGCACATCCTAAAGATTCAATTATTGGGATATCATCCTAGTGTTTACAACAATCTGTAAAAACCAGATGCATTTTAGACCAATGGGCAATATTAGGGCAATTAAGTATGACAGAGCTTCTTTCTGTTTTAATGTGCCTTCCCAAGATAAATATTCCATTATCTCTCTGAAAGTACCATCTTCCATTATTAAGACTTGTTCAGGCTTTTTTAATATAACAATTTTATTGTAATCTAGATTTAATAGTACAACCAGCACAACCTGAAAGGCAGTGTCTTAAAAAATAACAGTAGCTTGTCTGTGGATAGATAGATTTAATGTAATTGTATTACCCTATCCACTTAAATATGAGACTAACATAAGCAATTGTAGGAGAATCAGTGGCAAATTAAATTCTAATGGGACCTGGGTGGTACTGAAGCCTGAAGCTTCCATGACAAAGCATTATTTTTCATACATGATCATTCAATAAATTGCATATTTAAGTTGAAGTTAATATTTAAGGTTAGGTTAAATATGAATATACACATAAAATTGTGATTGTTCATAAAGCAACATTTAAACAAATGAAGATCCTGTTTATCCAATATATCCATCCACTGTGAAATGATATCTAAACCTACAACTTTTTTCCAGTTTGATATGGAACAATGAATGGTTAAAGACCCTGTCAGGTTTGTTTTACATCTCTGTCCCATTGCAGATATTTTCCTTTATTTCCTGCCCTTAGACACTACAGGAAGTGAGATAAAATATCTCCAGAATAAGGAAATTCTACTCTTAGACGTTTGTAACAGGACAAATTTCCCCTCTATTTCTGTTCTGGTGATACATCTTGTATTTTCCCTTACTTTTTACACAGATAACCATGTTAAGTGTTCGTATTTGCAAATGCCTTTTCTCCCTCAGAGCTTATCATTTTATTTCCAAGCAGTACCCATGTAATTTTTTCTCAGAGAGCAAATCGAAAAAATACTGGTGTAGTCCCAAATCCACTATTGTACATGTTCACTGCAAATATTGTCACCTGAGAATTTAGTATATGGAGAATCCTTTAACAATTTAAAAATTAAACACATGGACAGACTGATACTAAAATTATCCCTAGCATATAAAGAACACTAGACTATGCTATATGTGTAAATGGCAAACCTTGGACAAGCTTCGTAGAAAAAAATAAGCACTGTCATCATTAACTTTTTGATTTGATATGGAAAGATCTGATAGGCGATGAGCAAGCCATTGAAGTTTGCACCAATCCACAAAGACAAACAGATTAAAAGACTGCCAACAGTCATTCTTCTCCTATTATCTTTATTACATTACTATTTGTAATGCTGTGGAAGCACCTCCATTCTATTTTTTGCAGTCCAGTGTGATTTAGGCATGTCCATACCTACACATTGCTGCTGTATAAATACTGTGTGAGATCTTTGTACTCTTATGAGTAAAATATGAATGTCTGGATATATGCCAAGACT